AATCCTGTGACCCATTATTTTTGTTTTGTATAGCCACACTGAAGGTCAGATATTTTTATAGAACAGGCCATAATTCAGTTTAGCAAAGTTCCAAGTGTTGCTGTATACAAATTCAGTTTACATCATAATTAATGGGAAGAATAAACTAAAGCCTTCCTGTTTTATCCAAATTCTTGAAGAGCAAGAACAATATATGTATTTTTTTTTCCCTGAGAAAGACTGAAGAAAAAGGCAAGAATCCTTCATGCGCTCAGCTTGAATGATGCTTCAGTCCATTTTAACTAAGTATTCTGTAAGCAGTAAGATCTTTCACAAAAAAATCCAAACCCAAAATGCATTCCACATACATGTTTCACTAAAGAAGGAACAATTCTCCAGGTAAGTACTTGCCATTCCTGTCTAGATCTGAACCACCATGAACATTCCGAAATCATTTTCTTTCAACTAAAAGCATCAGAAACTGAAACACACTCTCTTTCAAGAGCAGAGGTAACAAAACCTGGTAAGGGAAAGAAAAGTGAAAAGCCTATTTCTGACATTTTTCATTGGGCTTGTTTTTTTTTTTTCTTTTTTTCTTTTTTTCTTTCCCTATAGCAGTTTTGAAGCCAGAAGAACTGGTAATACCACATTCCTCTACTACAGTTTTAACTTAAATTTTCTTCTTTGGCAGTGCATTGAATTCACACCATTTTAACACGGATAATAACAGCACTTTAAGAACAGAAGTAGTTCTCTCTGCCAAGATCAAACATATGCCCAAAGCAGAAACTGAAAAGCTTGTTTAGAACAGCTTGTCACATGCTGTAGTACAGACTACAACAAAGCTCTTCAACTTTTGATCTGCACTTCAGTTGGGTCTTAAAAAAAAAAACAACAAAAAACAAAAAAAACCAACCGAAAGAAAAACAAGAAAATGCACTCAAAGAAAAGGGTTTTCTCAGCTTTAACAATGGCTTTTATTGCTTTTTTTTGTTGTGGATTTGACTCACATCGGTATGTTCGTTCTCTTCCTCAGCATTAGGAAGTAGCATTTAAGTATTCAGAATATCAAATTCAGAATTTTATTCTCATTTGTTATTTTTCTGCTTTTAAGGTTAAAAAAAAAAAAAAAAAAACAATGAAAATTTGAAATATATTCTTTACAGTAAAAAAAAAAAAAAAAAAAAAGGCTTGCTTTTCTTGAGTGTTTTTGTAAATCCAACTGAGGCCTGTAGATCAAAAGTTGAAAGCTGAGGAAGAAAACTGCTTGTAAGCTTGCAACAGAAAATTGTGCAAAGTTATTTTTAAATGAAGAACACAGAGGTAGAGAAACTTCTCAGTCAAAAAAAGAGGGCATGAAATAAAAGGATAAGGTGCAGATGAGTATTCTGAGAAGAGGGAATATGTAGCTGGAGACTAAAAATTAACTATGCAAATTAGACAGAAATGGATGATGTTTGTGCTCAAAGGCATTCTTTATTTCTGAAACAGCATTTCAGTTCACAGCAGAATGAAAAATGTCTCGATTTCAAGCCACAGCACAACAACTTACTGAAGAATAAATAAAGATTGCCAACATTCCCATCAACGCTGAGTCAGACCTATACTGTAATGTCAAAAAGCATTATTAGGTTGTTCTGCTCCACAGATGATCCATTTGAACCTTAAACCTCTTCTGCAAGTGAGATCATTGTGGCAGACCCACGACAGGTCTGGTAGTGCATTAAGCATTTCTGTCACAAAGCAGTTGATGTGACACAATCTGTAATTCAACCACTGACAAAAACTGCTAAATTTAAATCTGAAGTCAGCCCTGCTCTATCACATCTGAAATCTCTGCACATAAACATTTGAGACAACTGCCTGCAAGAAAGTAATTAAGACCTTATTACTCTTAAAACTGTCATTCATGTCTGTCTTCAGGTTCCAAATACTCTTAGTAGTTTTTAGGTAGCATTTCACAATTCATTACTCAAAACCTATGGAATACAGTCTTACTGACAAAATTAATGAAAGCTGGTTTTTATTTGGTAAAGTCTTCTGAAAGGAAGAAATTCACATTTAACATAATTAGAAAACAAAGTTTGCAATGAAAACTTTAAGTTTTCCAGTTTTTAAAGAATAGAAACCACACTGAATTACACTAGAATTAACTCTAGTACGCCTGCCTTGTAATAATTGCCACTCAATTCTCCCCAGTGGGGAGAATGAGCTCTGCAGGGTCTTCATTAAATCAGAACTGAGGCCAGCATAAAGGTTTTATGGAAGAACAATCAACTAACCATCGTCACCTCTCCTACATGCAAACAAAGCTGTGATTTCCTTTTAAGAACAAACATGAGTTTATCAAGCATTTCAGAAATGTATCAAGAATGGTTAAAGCCTGGAATCATAAGATGTGAAAAAATGTTGGGTAAGATCCAGCGTCTTCCTGAAAAACAGGTTCACGGAACTTTCATTGAAGGGAAAACCAAACAAAAAAAAAAAGAAAAAGGGCAGAGGGACAGGGAGCTTTATGGCTAAAAAAAAATTCATCCTGTGACTTGTTTCAACTATGGAACTAGTGAGAATAATTTCAATAAAGGCTTAATTTAAGAAGATGTGGGATATAAGATAATTTTTGTTTAGAAATAGAGGATTAAATCAGACAGAAATGCCCTGCCATCCATTTAGCACATGGACAGATCTGAGGTACATAAATCCTTTTGTAATTTCAGTATCTAAAGCTGATCGTCCTTTCCACTCTCACACTCATCAGGAAACTGCATTTTTCTTTCTCCACTATAAAACATGCTTAGGAGCTTTAAGCCCATACGACTCTAAGCTCTCACATCTTTGTTTAAGCTAAAATAAAGGGTAATGATTATTATTAGAGAATGAAAACAGCGCAAAGAAGAGGTGGCATCTTAGGAAAAGATGCAGATTTACATCAGTTGTATTCAGCCATGAACTGCAGTAATTTTTGCAACTAGTATGAATGATACCAGTTTGATACAGTTGATACCAGTTTCTCTTTTCATAAAACAATGCATAAATACACACAAAATGCCAACAAGAACACTGCAGCATTTAACTTAAAGGCATCTAATTAATACTAATTACAACAGAACCCTAGTTATATGGATCACATAACATTTTTTTTTTTAATAGGATGCTATGCTAACTGCAGCCAATCATCTACACACCACAGATTTTAATATTCAAATACAAAAATTTGTATTAATCAGCATGTAACTTTTTTTTCAGAGTGTTAACAGTTGATATTAAATTTTTCTAATCATCACAGATTTTAAGTGTTCAAATTTCAATGACAGGAAAAAATATACTGGAATTAAACATTAGGAAAACAAAATAGTGCTGTCCAGGGATGTAACCAGACAGCTGACAGGATATCATGTTTTGTATCCCCCCCACCATTTGTTCTTTAAAAATACATCAAAGTCAGTAGAAACATTCCAGTGATTACAGTCTTGCTGGTAAAAAGCTGCCATATTGTAGTCAATGTTAATATTTTGCTTGATTACTAGTAGTTCCACATACAGACTGTTAGAAAATTTAATTTATCCATCATTTTATAAGTCTCAAAACTAGATCTGGAAGTTCCTTTGAGAGCTTTCCTACAAAATTAAGAATGACTAATAACTTCTGTTTTTGCAACACAGCAGAAAAACACACATTTACTCATTTCTTTTGCATACAGTAATATTCTTACATTTTTTAAATTGTGATTGATAGTAGAAATATGACATTTCTCAAAGCTCACACTATTCTCTTTATTTCTACAAAGCACTTCACAGGATTACATAATAAAAAAAGATTAATGCTTGGTAAAAGGACCACATAAAGTATGAGAGAAATAACACATTAAATTCATCTCTGTTTACCTGCTTATTTTCATTTGCAAGTAAGACAACCCACAAAAAGCAGAAGAAAATAACCTAACGTCCAATACTAAATCAAATCTCATAAAATACCTAGTTTTCTGAACTGAAGTGATAGAAAAGTCTGTTTTTTTCCACACTTCCGATTCCGATTAATGTAGGTTTTTCTTTTAAATATATATTTTCTCCTTGCAGTTCTTGACAACAGAACAGACAATAGCTGAGACACAGCAATGGGATTAAACACCAGCAGTTGAGAATCAGTCAGCAGACCAATTACTAAAGCAGTGGTGCTCAAGTTATATCTGCTCTGTATAACGTAGCTTGTGCATTCCTGACTGTTCTCTACTCTTTATAGCTGAATTGATTTTCTGCAACACAGCATTTTTTCCCCCCAGTACTCAGGAATTCTTCAGGTTATGGCTCCACTGGAAGCCACAATCCTATGAATGCTTACTATTGCATTTAGGCAGCATTGAATCATTTCATGCAAAAAATTAAAAAAAAAAAATCAAATAAGACCAAAACATAGCAGTCACCTGAAACTTTTAAATTACTTTCATATGAATTATTTACTGGCTAAAGGACAATTTTCCTTACTTGAGAACACACCTATCTAATGATCTCCAAGACTGCAACTAAGCAGCCATATACAAATTGCTTTAAATCAATACATATTACTAGGAAAAAAAAAAACCAACACCAAAAACTGAAAGCAACGACATGATTCATTCTTTTAATACCAATCTATATCTCAAGTCCTACTGACAAACTCCACAGCTGCCTGAAAATACCTCCAACTCCATTCTCTTTCAGAATCAGAGGTCTGAAAATGTCTTCCAAGTTATGATACTTTTGTTACAGGATCACCATTCCAACAATCCAAGCAACAAATCTTTTCAGGCTTTAAACAAATATTTTAAACTTCTTGTCAGCAAGGAGCAATTACACAAGAGAAATGCGTTAAGAAATATGTCAGCCTACACGCTCTAAAGGTTTAAGACATATTCAGGAAAAACAGCTGTAAGGAGACACTATCATTCATTTACTTGCCACACAAGTTAGGTCCCAGGACAAGTAAGGATCCTAAGTACTACACAACTACTTCACGTTAATAGCAACAACAAAAAATAAGCTTACTGTTTGACTTTCAGGAAAGTCCATCTTCAGCAATTTGTGAGCACATTCTTCAAAGTCTAAGCTGCAATAAGAAAAAAAAAAATTCTTATCTGTGCAATATACAACTATACTAACACACCTGAAAAACACTGACTTTCGTTCACTCAAAAATTTTGATTACAGCAACATTCATAGGAAAGTCCTAGTGCACTAACTTGTATTACTGCATTGTAGAACAAAGATTTTTGTTTGAAACGATGATTTAAGAACCCACTGTCAAAATAACAGTCAACTTTCTACCTTATAAATCAAGTTCCATATAGTATTTTTTAAAAAACTATGCTAAAGCATGATTAAAAAAAAAAAAAAGAATTAAAATTCAGTCACATCAAAAGAAATGCAATTGTGTATAAATTATATAATACTTACCTCGACTGAATAGCAAGATAAATGGTACGACGGAAGGAAACCAGGTTGATTTCTGTCTTGTCATGGACAGTAACTTTCTGGCCTATGAAAGAAAAACAGTTTGGAGATAACAAAACATTAAGTTGTATTTTATATATCTATGTATCTCTTAGAATATACATTTTTATAAGGTCTGTAACACATCTGTATAAAAATACCTTTTGTATAAATATTTAAGACTTAGGCAGTATCGTGTTTGTATATTCATTTCTATCAAAGTAAAGAATTTAAAATCAATGTTTACCTTATTATGACTAACGGGTAAATACTTAGAGATACAGTAGAGATACAGATAGCCTCCTTTTCAATTTTCACTCTTATACTACATGCTAGTATTAAACACTTAGATCTGAGAATAATTGCAGATTAAAGCCTCCCTTAACATTGTATTGTTCTTAGTTTTATTAAATGTGCAACAGAAGTCAAGCTTTCCTTTACAGTTTAACCTACCAAAAAAAAACCAAAAAAAAACATGCACACAAAAAAAATTCCAACAATCAAAAGACAAACAAAACTCCAAATCAATCACCAGTAAGTTGACAGTCACACGCTTACCATCTTCATCCTCCTCTTCATCTTCATCTTCCTCTTCATCACTACTTCCAGCCTCCTGATCTGGTTCAGACTCACTGTCACCTTCATCAAGAATTTCTGAAAGAGCAGATTAAAGGTGTACAGATCATAATAGTTCAGTTACCAAAACAACAACTGATTTAACATCTAAGATAAAGGATGTCTCAGGCAAAGAAGGTATGTCGCAGCTGACTAAAAACATAGTTGTAGGGACAATACTGAGGAAAGAACAGGAGTATGTAGGAAAGGAGCACGATGAACTGAAAGGCAGTTATCTGGGAAACAAAAACAAACTGCCACCTGCAGTTAAACAATAAAACTGGTAATGATAGTTGGGTAACTAAATAGCATACAAAATACACAAAGTATATAAACACATATTTTACATATAGCACGTACATATAATGTGTAATAAAACACATCTATTATGTATGAAACATATGTAGACACACTTACCTTTCTTGAGTGCTTTGTATTTTTCTTCATTTTCCATAAAGTTGGGATCCATCTTGAAAACATCTTTAAAATAAAAAAGAATCTTTAAAATACAAAATGAAAATAAGACAATATACCAAATCTTCAGTTTGTTTTTGTGTGAAATGCAATCATGGAAAATATTTCTATTTCTAACTTACTAAGAACATCCTCTGGGTTGTATTCATCTTCTAAAGGCAACATATGAGTAAATTGATCTTCCTCTTCCACTAGATCTAATCCCTCTGGAATGATTGGATGATCCTTGAAGCCATCCTTCCGTACAGCAAACATGACTTCTATCATGTACTGAACACGCATGTCAATTTTAGACTCATGGAGAATGTGTCGAAGACGGTCAAAGATTGCTTTGGAAAAAGCAAAATATTTAATATGGACAAGGACTGAATATAACGCAAACAAGAAAAGGCTAATATATTGGCTCATTGTACTTACCATTAATACCTCTAGGAGAAACTTCTGTTAGCTTGAGCCCACTCTCCTTAAGAAATCCAATTGCTACTTCAATACTGTCATCAGTAGGCCTTTCAAGAAGCAAGGTGAGCATTTCCAAACATAAAACCTCATGGGCCTTTAGAAAGAATATCAATAAAGAATCAGAATTTACAGTATTTCTTTGAGGATGTCACACCACTTGTTTAATCGCACAAAGAAGGTAACATGGGACAAAGCTAATTAAGAGATAGTCAACATTTCATACACAATTAAGCTATTTATATTTACACTATCTTTACAGTGAACATGACTATACTTTTGAAACATGAGTACATTCTAATAAACATTTTACCATTGCTGGAAAAAAAAAAACAAAACCAACAATGCATTTATACAGACCAAATAAAATAATACTTAGCTTACTAAAACTAGTTTTAGCATTGCATAGTCTTTCAAAATAACTGCAAGAAGTAATGTTTCAAACTGAGGTATCTTATACACCTGGGGTAGAAATCCTGGTACTTCTAACACAGAAGATGGTGGAACAGGGAAAGATACAAATTTGATTCAAACGCAACTGAGTCTGATCCTGCCTGCAGACTTAATCATCTTTGTATAAGAATACAGTGCTGCAAGAAAATTCCATTTAGTATCTGCAGGAATTCACTTGCTTTCTATCAGAAGCTATCAGAATACTATCCCAAACATATACATAAAGTTTTGGGAAGCTGTGAGACATTAAGTGCAGCGGCAAGAGATGAGAACATCACAGCCACATTACCAGACGAAATCTCTTTTCTAAAAAGTCCCAACAACTTACAACAAGCACTGATAGGAAATCTGAACTCAGTTTTCCCATAGCTTATGGACAAGGGGAAGTATATTCACTTGAGCTACCACTATCTTGAAGCTAAAATAAATAGGCATATAAAGTGTGAGCAAGTGAAAACAAAGTAACATACCACATTCTGATTCATCAAATGCGCAACAAACTTCGAAGACGTTAGACAGAGTTGCTGCAAAAGAAATAAGCAACTGGAAACTGTAACATCTTACATGGAAGAAACACTCGTAACTGAGACATTCTATACTTGTGCTTCTCAGTCAAATTAAGACATGAAAATAACTATTTTGGTATACTGATCATTATTCTACCATTAGTACTGCATACGTCCAAGTAAAATATAAAAATAACATCACAATTCCAAGCTGAAATCAGTAGATAGGCTTTCAGAACACGCAAATACTACTTTATTTAATGTACTCATGTTAGGTGAAGCATAATGATACAACACAAACCACAGGTCTTGGCTGTGTTCCTTTGAAATACCTAACTTGAATACACTCAGTACAAAATCACTCAGCAGAATTACAAGTTTTAGCATTTTGTCTCTTCACATTTTTTACATACCTTATCATTTCTGCGATATCCTTTGCGAAAATTTAATATCAACCTCTTGAGAATCAATTCACCAATATTTGGAAACTTTGAATTAATAATTGCCACAAGAGCCGCATAAACATGGGTAAAAATTGGAGAGGCACCCTGAGCTTGCAAAATGGATCTAGACAGCAATCCCCTGCAAATAGACACAAGTTTAAGAATAAAATTTTTTTTTATAATAAAACACAATGTTTTCACCCATTACGTATCACAAAAAAGGACTGCATTGTTTGAATAGAAAGATGCTATGTGGTCATTTTCAAGCAGTTGTTCACTGCAAAGCCCAGGAAGAAAAAAAAAAAAAAGCCCTCAAAATGTGACTCTTTAAGGTACTACTTACTACAGGCTTAATAAATGTAATAAATGGAATAGAACTCATTTGACATGTGTGTAAAGGACCAGAATACTTGGTTTTAAAACTATTAGCTACAAATGCAAACTACATTAGTCTGGTTAAGATCATATTTACTTGTACAATCACCATGATTTATAACTGACAGAATCATAGAAATACCTAATAGCACAACAGCCTTTTCTCCACATCACAATGGCAAAGACGAAGGTAGTAAACAGATCAGATAGTTGTAATAAAGTGTTTTGGCTGAAAATATTTATGTTAGATAAAGTTCAGGAACAGAGAAAGAAATAGACAGGCACATGTAAACTGCAAGTCATTCAAGTAAAATCAGTAAATAAGCTAAAATAAAAAGGAAACATGCTATCTGCTCTACTGTCTTATTTTTCCAAGCATGTACTCTTTCCTCTACCCCTCTGCTCCCAGCCCCTTTCCTCAAGCAGGGAATTCCTCTGCATAGGAAAATATAAGCCTAAGTTAAACTTTGAAGTCAGATTAGTAACGATATACTAAACATACAGTGATGCAGGAATGAATAGTATATATACATTAACAGAAAAAAAAAAAGTTGACTTAAATTTACCTTCCTCGAACAATATTCTCCTGAAGCAGCTCATGAATAATGTTTTCTATATTAGAAACGTTTACTTTATTGACGAGACCATTGATGGACTTCTTCAAGGCTTCCCAACTCATCCTCTGATATGCCAAGCTATCACAAAGGCATCACAAATTAGTAAAGCATACAATACACTAAATAAAGTAACTAAGAAAACATTCACAGCACAAATGCAAAGACTAGCTCACAATTATACATTAAATGACTAGGAACCCACCAAACCAACATGACATGCCAAAATGTAATTCCCTACAGATGTGGTATAACCCAGAATGTTTGTCTTTTCATGGCATTAGGAAAAAAAAAGCCTGTTATGCTCTGTATCCTACTTTTCCATTAAGAGCAGAAATGGACAGGATCATAGTCTGATTTGTTATTTTTGTTGTTGTCTGTTTGGCTAGCGTTTTGTTTTCCTCAGGGACAGGCAGAAAGAAGATGACTTAAGGAAAATGGCTCTCATCTTCTATCTGATTAGAAAGATATCTGAAAAAGTGTCCCACTTACAATGACATTCCTTAAAACACTTCACAGTTTTGTTTTTCAGGATGAATTCTAATGTTACCTTCAACTCACCTATTTTTATCAGTAATTTGTTCTTGCATCATTCTGAGCTTGGCAGGTGGAATATATGCACCACCTGTGCGAGTAAGGATTGGATCCACTTCTTCTTTCTTCTTCTTTGAAGTGGCCTCTTCATGAGTATTTGAGCCCTGAACTGTTGACCTCTCTGGACTCCTATGATCAGGGGAAGAGAGTCTTCTCTTCCTCCTTCGATCATAATCTCTTTCTTCCCACTTTTCATAGTATCTGTCTCTCCCTCTCTCCATCCTTCTAAAAAGACCAAAAAAAAAAAAAAAAAAAAAAGAAAAAAGAAGCTGTTTTCCTCTTTCGTTGTTTAAAATGAGTACCTTCATAGGAATTGAAAAATAGGTCTAGTATTCACCTTTCTGAAGATCTGTCATCGTAATACTCCCTTCTTGAATATTCTTGATCATATCTGCTGTCATCAGAATATCTTCTTCTTCTGGGAGATGGAGACCTGTCACGCTCTACATCCCTATTCACAATCCAAGACACAAAATTCTCAGTAAAAAGATTAGAAAAGCTATGCTATTAATAACTACTTGCAATGCAATCTGTTACATACATGCCAACAATTCCAATTCTGCACTCCACTCTTAATATGTGCATCACTCAAACGCAAGACGTTCCCTTTATAAATAACATGTTGCCAGCCAGCCAAAAAAATAAAAATTGAAAATAAAGAAATCAATAGAATCACCTTAAAAGGAAGCACCTCCTAGCATATAGGAGTAAAAGCTAAATGCCAGCAACATCAAATACCAAAGGCAAATGCCACACTTCACATTTCTTGAAACGCGTGCATTCATTTCAGCTACTTCTGATGGTGGTGCATGAAACACAAAAAGACATCACTAAAACCGACTGCCTTTGGTACAAGATGTTTTTTTCCATATAGGTAAACTGCTAATGCTTCATTCTCCTGCATGAGCAGGCTGTGCTTCAAACAATATCCGTACATCTCTTGCTGGCCTCCACAATCTTGCTATAAACATCAGTAGTGTTCCACAAAATTGGTGGTGGTATCCTATTTCCATTTACAAGATCCTTGAGATTTTAACTGAGAACTTTAGGCTACAAGTATTTAGTCTTAATTACAAATCTATTTAACTACTGCTCTGTATACATGCAAGTATTTTATTAAACCTGCAATTATTTCTCACAGCTATTATGGTAGCATATAAAATCATGCTATATTCAGTTTTCATCTTTGTTATTTGTTTTAATTTTTCTCTCCTTAGGAGGAGAGTCACACACAATCACAGGATACATAAATCAATCATTTCTACCTGTCCTCTGGAGTCAAACTTCTGTGCCGTGGACTGTATTTTTCTTTCCTTTCATGACTGGAGCCATGCTTTAATAAAAGAGAAAAAAAATTCAACTTCAAAGTTATAAAACAATTCGTGTGAACATATATATATGTTTCTTGACATCAAGGCATACGATTGCTTTAGCCTGCTACATATTTATAAGAAGCAATGGTCATCAAATAAAGCTAATAGCAGTCAGACTCATCACAAGAGCAGCTACTTCTAAGTAACACATACTTAAGCAGCTGCTACAGGATACTCTAGATCTTCCATGATGTCAAGAGGCCAAACATAGATGAAAAATCATACAGGTTACTAAAGAAAATCACAAACTGGATGGACTGAGACTTTCATGGTTTATCCTGCTTCTACAATCCATCTGCTATGGATTACTATCAGAGACTAGGCAAGATCGACCTTCAGTCTGCCTCTGTTCCTTTACTGTTTTCTTTATCCATACATCCTTTTACACTTTCTTGCATCATGTACAACACTGTTTACAGACTTCTACCAGTCCTTGTCTGGCAAATGACAAGTGTATCTTCCCTTGCCTGAAGATTCTTTTCTACTTTTTTTTAAAAAAAAAAAACTCATTTTTTTCTAACCATTGTATGCTTTTTCACTGAATCATTCCTAGCTTCATAAATTTGACATGTATAAATTTAATATACATAGTAACAACACGGAAAAAGGTGCGTTTTTTGGGGATAATCAGTTCTCATGAGCTCTACAGCATTTGCCTTGGCCCAAGTAGACTAACAGAGACAAGAGTTCATAGGAATAAAACAATGTTACTGACGTGTCTGTCTCTGGGAGTTCTCAGGTATCCTTGCAAAAGCAACTGTTTTGCTGAATAACTTATTTCCCTCAGCTCTTCCTGACCAGGCTTCCTGCCACAGGTTACAGTATCCCTCTCATCCTATTTCCAAAGTACCCACAACCCGCCAGGCTAAGTTGCTTATTTTGACAGGTGAGAGAGCACTACTTGGTCAGAAAAACATGAGGACATACCTATCTATCCCTTAAGCATCCCTATCAAAAACCACTTTGGTGAAAAAGACTGGAATGTAACTGGAGCAAAGAAGCCCAGGCAGGGTTGAACACAAAAACCCCAAGAAAGCTAGTAATGAAGATGTCACTCAAATTCAGTAAAATCATAGTGAAAACAAATGTGATATTTCTACACCCCATTTTTTCCTCATTGCTTACCAATAAATCAGCCCTCCCACTCTTCCAGCCACTCAGAAATGTACTCCACAACCTTTAAAAGTGAAGTTCAACTTCCACGCTAAGAAATGCAGCCGACACAGTAACTTCTACATCCTTTTCTTCTTAACATCATCATTAAAGTTTCAGCATCTTTTTTCTCCATTTCCCAGCGCTTACGTTCCCAGTTGAGTCACCATTCAGCCACTTGTTTTACTACCACATGCCAATAACGTTCAGAACTTCCACTGTGAGGACAGCATGCACCAGCCACTACAACTGACTGCCCTAACAGTAACTCCTCTGTTGTCAACGGCTGCCATCACGACTGTCTGCCTTACAATCAGCGTTCTATTTAATACAACGCCAACTGAAATCGAGCCACCAGCAAGAAGAGAATAATACACAACGTAAGCATCAAGGCACTTACGTTTATTTGTGTCACCCTGCTCTTCATCTCCACTTCTGCTATTTATACGAGACTCTGAACGCAGCAGCAACGAGAAAATCCAAAGCGGAGATCAGTTCACCCAGAACGTGTCATCTACAACACACAGACGACAGGGAGGGTTTTATATTGCACAACACAAACGTTACATCGCCGTGCCACAGGCCCCGCCGCGCGGCTCCCGCCCCTTCCGCCCGCTCCCCCTCCGAGCCGCGGCCCTGCACACTGCACACAGGCCGCGACTGCCCGACCCGTGGGGCTCGGGCAGGGGCTCCGCCTGCCTCGCTGGGGAGAGAAAGGGCAGAGAACGGAGGGACAACTCCCGCCGCCTCACCTGGACCTCGCCGAGCGGCCGCGACCCCCGCTCCGCACCTACCGCCCGCCACCGCGTACCGCTGCCAACGCCGTCACTTCCGGCGGAACGCGACACGCAAGGAACGCGACGCGCTCAGGCACCGCCCAGCGACGGCGCAACGCACGGCGCGGATGCCGGGCTGCGCTGCACCACGGGAAACGCAGTGCGGCGGTGGCGGTGTGCGGCCGCCATCTTGTGCGGCGGGTGGCGGCGGGCGGCTGAGTGCGGGTGCCGCGCCCTTCGGTCCGCTATTTTGGTTAAAATGGTCGTACGGAGCGTTCGGGAAAAACGAACCAAGCAAGCAAGCAAACAGAAACACCCTCAACAGGAAATAAGTTGATGCTGTCATCCGACATTTGGGAATAAATGCTTTTGTACTAAAGTAAAACCATTTCTAAATCCCGGTGATGAAAACAACGTCCTCAATGCGCCCTGAGGATCGCTTTGCAAATCATGACTGCAACGTGCTCTGCATCCAACAGCAGCGTTCTCCTGCTGGAAGTGCAGTGAGGAGCTGGTTTGTTTGCAGAGCTGGGCCCTCACAGCTGCGACCTTATGAACATTCTGGACTTTGCACAATGGCTTTGACTGGGGCCTTACTGCTAAACTGCATACAGCTTTTTCTTCTTTTTCGCTTGTATATTTTCTAACGGTAACAATATGTTTAGTTCTGTAGCTTAATTAACCATAATGATGTGTCACTTTAAATAGGGCTCGATTCTACCACCAGGTCATGTCAGATGATCTCCAGTGGCATTAGGACATTACATCACTAAACAATTTGAAATGCTATATAAAATGTCATAATTTGGAAGAACCATTCCTCCCTGGTATTTATTCTCACACTGAGTACGATAATATGGATATGTTTATATATATGTAACATATACGTGTACAAACACATACATACATCATGATGTGGTGAGTAGGGGACACTCATTATTTAATATTTTGACAAACTGATCAGATTTTGATTAATCTACTGCAGCAGTTTCAGAGTTAAGCTGCCCTGCCAAAAACTGTGATCCCACAGAAGAGTCAGAGAACGGGAGTATCAGACCATGCCTGAGATAATCCAGCATGTAGCATTTTGTGACTCAAACTGCTTTAGTTTAAACTGAGATAGCAGTCTTTGCTCTCAAACACTTGAAGTGTTTACAAAGTGAATACAAGCTTATTCTCACATTTTTCCAAAGGTCAGGAGTACTTTCTTTAAATTGTGCATCATGCCAGTTAAAAATACTTTGCCCTCCAGTGAGAACAGCTGTTTTTACTTATAAAGTCATAAAAGTGAACTCTCTCATTTTGTGATCCTAAGAAGATATCAACAATCTAAGAAAATCCTAATCAAAACAAACACAGGGATAAGATATTTTAAATAATTGGAAAAGTACAGAAGTATTTTTCTTCTCACTTCTAGCTTTTAATCACAGAATTTTATCTCCTCGGCTTTTGAATTTGCAGTAGCAGTGCCTACACAGGAGACTGAAAACAGCATGTTATCTGGATGTTATAACAACTCTGACAATATGAATTGTTAAATGTTCTCACTAGATGTACCATGAACCCACTGCAAATAGAACATCACCTGCTGGCAGGGACTCATGCCCATGAACTCTCTATGGTTTTCCATTCTACTGGGAAGGTAATCTCTTTCCTGACTCATGCTGTGTAAACAGGTGCCATCAAATAAAAAGGCATATGGCATCAATGTGACAGCACCATCTCGTAAGAAGAGTTTCCTGTGGCTGATGGCACATGTACCATGACTCAGGCTGTCCCTCTGAACGTGCTGAGAGAGAGCAAATGGGGAGAGCTGAGCATCCCTTCAAGAGGGTGTCTGAGGACAAGACCAGAAAATAAAAAGTCTACTTCGAGGTGCAACCACTGGGAAACAACTGATTACCCCTGAGGAATGAGCTTATGTTGTGAAAGCAGCTGAGTGACATGGAGAGACCACATCCTCTCATGAATTACACTATTCAGCTTCTCTGCTTAAACACAGAATGCAGAGTAAGGGCCAGGAGAGAGATTCATTGAACAAGAAGGGAAAGGACTGTGTAATTCTGAATAGAATCAGTGAAGTGAGGTTTCCCTTTTTCCTTTCCTAGATTAAGGCTTTTGCATTTGAATTACAGAGTGAAGCCCTCTTCCGTTCATTGCTTTCCTGGCCTACTCACCATGCAGTCTCTTTTCTGCAATGTATTATGTAGAGTTTCAGTTTTATAGAGTGTCTAGACTTCTGATCGGGGGACATATTTTAAGAGATGTAGTTATTAATTTCGTGAAGCTGAAGAGACATTTATGTCCAAAGTCTCCAGTTCCTATGGAAAGTTTTGAAGGGGCAGAAAGCAGTGCAGGTTGGACACTGCATGGGAGTCTTTTTGAAGCTCCTGTGCTTGAGATCCTAAATGCAGAGTCTGAGGCAGAGTCAAGACTCATATTTCTGAGTTCTGGAAAGGAGTAAGGCTTCAGGCATCTGCTTTTGGTTGGTATCTTACACATCTCCTTGCTCTGCATGTGGGTCTCTTCATTGCTTGGAAAGCATCAGTTCTCTATGACTCTGGTGCATGAAACCATGTACCTAACTGTAGCAACCCTGATAAATAAAATAAATAAATAAATAAAAACACAACCTAACAAGACCAGCAAAACCACAAGAGAAACAGTACGCATTTCTGAGATATTTCAGACCGTGTCTACTGCCCAGTGCAAGTGCAGTAGAGATCCACCTGACTGCTGAAGTTAGTTCTAAACTAACTAGTTCTGCTACCTTGTTTCATCAAGTTAGTGCAGCACTGGGGATGGGCTAACAATACCACGTTGCTTCTGGTATCTGAATTAACCGACATCAAGTGGCTGTATGTATATTTGAGGCAGCTATATTGAATACATAGAAATGTTTCTCCCTCTCTCTCTGTCCCTCTCTCTCTCTCTTTTTTTTTTCTTTTAATCTGAGCAAAACAATAGCTCAGACCTTAAAATAACACCCAATTAATACAAAATTAAATACTGTATAAGTCAAAGTTAAAATATTAATTTCTACATATGGTAAATATAGAAACACAGAAAACAGTGATAATTCAACTGAGACTAATAGCAATTAAGCCAAACATAATTATATCTTTGAAACTTGCACAAAGGGAGAAAGGATAATGTGCCCAACAAATTCATATTCAGCAGCTTAATGTTGTGCATGAACACTCCATTAGTAAGCCACGGGAAACATAGTCAAGTTGTTTTCCCATGGCAGTTTTTGTCATTGTGCTCAAAATGATACAAGTTAAAAATTATCTCATGCTGCACTCCCTGGGCTGGCTCCTCACCTGGGATGAGCACTCCATCAGTTCCTATTCTTCTACACATAAGGAATAAAAGTTTGCATGTAGATGCTCACTGAAAAAGCAACTGTAGTAGCTCCAATAGCTTATTCCAATATCTGATTCTTAGTACAAACACTACTTGCAGTTAATAGTACTTCATTAATTAATCACAAAATGATTTTCCTACCAGCTTCATTTGGAATACAACATTTATACACAACTAATTCCCATTAAAGATAATCAGTGTGACCTTTAGCATGCTGTAGAATTACAACTTTGTGCAAGGCTCAGACTGTACTTTCAGATAGCTGCTACTATGTACCAGCTTCAGGCTGTTACTTCACACCTCAGTAACACAAGAAATTGCATCCTCTGCAGTTTCAGTGCAAGGTCAGATAAGTTAACTGAGCCAAGCCAACAAAGAGGGGATGAGAAGCAAACATGAATTTGTTCAGAGCAGGATGTAGCTGTGCAAGCCCTTCTGCTACCTTTCTTTCTTTCTTTCTCTTTTTTTTTTTTTTTTTTTTTTTTTTTTTTTTTTTTGGCAGGGGGTGTTAGGGGTTGATGACAGCATTAATGCTGGTTGTTACAAATTTGTACGTGAGAAAGAGCAGAATAAAGAAAGAAACAATCTCTGACATCACATATACAAAAAATAGTTTCAGAGAGATCTAATATCTTTGCTCACCATTACTTTTCAATACTTGGTAGCATTCCTGCAGGGGGTTTGGAACTAGATGATCTTAAAGGTCCCTTCCAACCCAAAGCCATTCTAGGATCATGGATTTACAGTATTTCCCGAATGATACCTCATTTTGGTAATAAAAATGGGTGACATAGAGAAACACTCTTGTCCATGAAGGTACCAACACATTCCCAGCTTGTTTTGAAGCCAAAACACAGCTGTTCCTATAGTCTCAGCAGGAAGAGATGAGCAGACTGCAAACTTCCACACAGCTTCCACGGTGTGAAAATACATCACATATATTTTCTATTATTTTTAATGATGCTCTCTCCGTTTCTCGTATTAGTCAAAGAAGTGCATTCCTATGTAGTGGTGTGGACTGGTGGCAGAAGGAGTGCTGAAGATACAGCTCTCCCAGGTGTGTGAGGTGTTTTCATTTCCTTACTTTCACTTGGTACTTACATACCTCAGAGGAACACCGGTGCTTTTCCACAGTGAGGAGTGTTCAAACCAAGGTGTTACATTACAGCAAATCCCCTGCAGGTAGAATAAATCTGTTTAAAATGTTGAGGCTATACGATCAATTAAGCTGTGTAAACATTTGGCAACCTTGTCTTCTTTAGCAACAAAAATCCATTTTTAGCACCTAACACTCATTCAGTTCTGTTTTGATTCCTTTTGTTAAACCCTTCTGAAGTATTTTTCCATCTCCAGTCCTGCAATGAAAGCAGTCTGTGCTGTTCCGCAGAGCTGTGGCAGCAGAGCCCTCTCGTGGGGACACCAGGCTCAGTGCCCGGAGGTGGATTTGTGCCCTGAACGCTACAGGACACGATGGCACCTTCTTTTTACGCTCCCTGCCTTAAACAGGTCACTGTGTTACTTAATCTGCTGCTCAATGCTTTGGGGCTTTTTGTCCATGTTCTCTAACAAGCATATAAAGCTTCTGTTACTTAACTCTTGATGTATAACTTTATCCAAATTTTACTTTTTAAATAGAATATGAACGTAAAGATATGAAAACAAAAATATTCCATGTATGTTATAATATTTTCCTGTGTTATGGACCAATTAACTACCTGTTGCATGCTCCTAAAACTTGCTAGATAG